TCAATTTTGTTTATTTTTTCAAAAAACCAGCTCCTCGTTTGGCTGATTTTTTGTAATGTTTTTCTTGATTCAATCCTGTTGATTTCTTCTCTGATTTTAATTATTTCTCTTCTCCTACTAGATTTGGGTCTGGTTTGCTGTAGGTTTTCTAGATCCTTGAGGTGAATTGAAAGCTCATCTATTTGGTGCCTTTCCAATTTCTTGATGTAGGCACCTATTGATATAAACTTTCCTCTTAACACTGCTTTTGCTGCGTCCCATAAGTTTTGGTATGTTGTGCTGTTATCCTCATTTACTTCCAGAAAGTTTTTGATTTCTCTTTTGATTTCTTCTATGACCCATTGTTCATTCAGGAGCATGTTGTTCAATCTCCATGTGTTTGCATATGCTCTAGGGATTCCTGAGTTGCTAATTTCCAACTTCATTCCTTTATGGTCTGAGAAGCTGCATGGTATGATTCTAATTCTTTTGAATTTGCTGAGACTTGCTTTATGGCCTAGTATGTGGTCAATCCTAGAGAAGGTTCCATGTACTGCTGAGAAGAATGTAAAATCTTTAGCTGTAGGATTGAAAGTTCTGTATATATCTGTTAGATCCATTTGGGCTATAGTGTCGTTGAAATCTACTGTATCCTTGTTGATCTTCTGTCCTATTGATCTGTCTATTTCTGAGAGTGGAGTATTGAAGTCCCCCAGTACTACTGTATTGGGGTCTAAGTCTCCCTTTAAGTCCGTTAACAAATCTTTTAGATAAACCGGTGCCCTGTAGTTAGGTGCATATACATTGATAATTGTTATATCTTCCTGTTGAATTGATCCCTTAATCATTATGTAGTGTCCCTCTTTGTCTCTCTTAACAGTTTTTGTGGTAAAGTTTATGTTGTCTGAAATTAAGATGGCTACGCCTGCTCTTTTTCCATTTCTGTTGGCATGGTATATCTTTTTCCTGCCTTTCACTTTCAGTCTGTATGGATCTTTGTTGGAAAGATGAGTTTCTTGTAAGCAGCAAATAGATGGGTTTTGTTCCTTAACCCAATCAGCCAATCGGTGTCTTTTAACTGGACAGTTCAGGCCATTCACGTTCAATGTGACTAATGATAAGTGGTAACTTTGCCCTGCCATTTGCCAAAGATAAGTTCTAATATATGCTTTGAATTCCCTGTGATCTTTTGCTGTGAGCTTTCCTTCCTTGGTTTCCTTCCTTTACCTTCTTTCATATTGATGATCGTGTTCCTTTGTTTCTGTGTGTAACACATCTTTAAGCATCTTTTGCAGGGCTGGACGAGTGGCAACAAATTCTTTCAATTTCTGTTTGCTATGAAAAGTCTTTATTTCACCTTCATTCACAAATGATAGCTTTGCAGGATATAATATTCTGGGCTGGCAGTTGTTCTCTCTTAGTACCTGGGCTATATCTCGCCATTCCCTCCTGGCTTGTAGAGTTTCTGATGAGAAGTCAGCTGTGAGTCTGATTGGAGATCCTCTGAGAGTAATCTGACGTTTCTCTCTTGCACATTTTAGGATCTTTTCTTTATGTTTCACTGTGGAGAGTTTAATTACAACGTGTCATGGTAAGGATCTCTTTTGGTCGTGTTTATTAGGGGTTCTGTGAGCTTCCTGTACTAGGATTTCTCTGTCCTTCTCCAAACCTGGGAAATTTTCTGCTAATATCTCACTAAAAAGGCCTTCTAATCCTTTCTCCCTCTCCATGCCTTCAGGAACTCCTAGAACCCGAATGTTGGTTTTTTTAATAGTATCCTGAAGATTCCCGACAATATGTTTTAGATTCCTAATTTCCTCTTCTTTTCTTTGGTCTGACTGTATCCTTTCCTGTTCTCTGTCTTCTAAGTCCGATATTCTCTCTTCTGCTTCACCCATTCTGTTTGTAAGGCTCTCTATTGTGTTTTTCATTTGATCTATTGAATTCTTCACTTCAGTCACTATCCCAGTTTCCTGTTGTACTAGTTGTTTCGTTTCATTTTGATTCCTCCTTAATATTTCATTTTCACGAGAGAGATTTTCTATCTTGTCCATTAAGGATTTCTGTAGTTCAAGAATTTGTTTTTGAGAACTTCTTAATGTTCTTATCAATTTTTTGAGATCTGCTTCTTGCATTTCTTCTATATCATCATCCTCATAATCTTGAATTGGGGTGTCTTTTTCATTTGAGGACTTCATGGTGACTTCCTTGTTTTTATTACCTTGGTTTTTGCGTTTGTTATTTGGCATATTGGAGATATTTGGTTTCTTCACTGTGGTGCTTTTTCTTGTTATACTATGACTCTAGATTAAGTGGACTATCTGTTTTTGATGGAGCCTTAGGGCTTGAGATGGGTGTGGCCTGAGAGCTCTGTTTGGTGTGCCAAAGGTGACACTCCCAGGTTAGGCGTGGTAAACCTCTCTCTCTCTCTCTCTCTTTCTTTTTTTTTTTTTTTTTTTTGATTCAAAAGGGAAGTTATTCTGCACAGCTGAACGAAGTTGGAGGTAGTTAGCAGGCAAATGATATACCCACAGGAGCCAGAGATCAGAAGCTCTTTCCCAAGGACCACACAGGGAATCTGTTCGGCCCTTAGAGTGGGCTCAAATTCTCCTTCAGTCTCCCACTGGGTTGCCAAAGTTACGGAATTGTAGCGTCTCTGGAGAGTGCTCACGTGAATTCCGTGAGTTCTCTCCCCCACCGTCTCTTTTTTCACAGTCTCAGTTCAGTAGCACCACAAATTTACTAGGTCCTAATCTCCTGTTAATTTGCCCCGCCCAGAGTCAGGTTTTTCTGCTAGGCTCAGGGCCGGTGCAGACCTGAGGTCGCTCTGCTTATGACGTATGTCCAAGATGGCGCCTGCTATTTGTCTTGCTCGCCCTTGAGAAGTGAGCGGAGAGAGAGAAACCCGTGTCCGTACCAGTCACCTTTTTTTTTTTTTCCCTCTCTCTCTCTTCCAGTAAGCCTGGTGAAGTTCCCCCCCCCCCCCCGGGGGTCGTTCCCTCTAGTCTCCTCTCTCCGCTTGCCTGCCGGTGTCTCGGGCTCACCTCGCGTTCCAGCGGCTCGGTCCCGCGGCTTGGCTTGCGCAGCTCGGTCCCGCGGCTCGGCTGCCGCGGCTCGGTCCCGTGGCTTGGCTTCCGTGCAGTGGGCAACCTTGTTCTCCCAGTAGGTCCTCCGATTCACGACCACTCAATCCAGAAGGGTTTCCTCTGCAATATTTTCCTGGTTTTTTTTTTCTGAGGCTACCGTAACTCCCCTTTTATTAAACTAAATTTTCCCAGACTATCGGTGTGCGCCCTCACTATTCCGCCATCTTGGCTCCGCCGGCCCTTATTCTTTTCTTTCCTTCGCCCATTCCTTTCTGTAAAATGTTTCCTATCTCATCTCCAAGTCTCCTTAAGAATTCAGTATCAGGATTTCAAATTTTTATATTAAAACTATGTGTAATTTGCCAGCACCAGTTAAGAACAACACAGATAATGATGTTGTTTCTAGAAGGACTACTAATACTATAATTTTTATTTCAAAAACTCCACATGCCTCCTGTAACTGGTGAGGCCTGATTCATTAATTAATTTAATACAATCCTCTGTGATTTTATTATTCCGGATTAGACCATTTATAAGTTCTTAAGTGGTAAGAATCTCTGGAAGATTTGCACAATAGTGACAAAATGAACACCTGAATATGTTGTAGGCTATTATTAGTCTCAAGCTATAATGAACAGTTTTAGTCAGAACAGAATCATAAGTTTCAAGAGAACTAAATGTTAAAGAAAAAAAAAACAGTTTGGCTGTAAAATTTTACACATGCACAATTATGCATCTTAACAAAAATTCATTTAGAAAGATTTTTTTAGTAGAATTAACAATGATACAAATGCACATCAATTGGGACTGGTTAATTAGAAGGCTAATCAGGGTGGGCATTCTGCCCAGTAGTTAGGGTGCTGCCTGGGATCCCTGTATCCACACTGGAGTGCCTGGGTTCAGTTCTAGGTGTTCACCCCAAATTCCAGTTTCCTGCTACTGCAGGTCCTGGAACCTGGGGTGAAGGTTTACATGGTTGTATTACTGCCACCCATGTGGGAAAATGTGATTGGATTCCTAACTATCAGCTTCACCCTTGCCCCTAGCCACTGCAGGTGTTTGAAAATGAGGTCAGAAAATTGGGCTTCTTTCTATCTGCCTCTCAAATGTTTTTAAATTTAATAAAAATGTTAAACTTCATTCATTAAATAAGATTAACTGCAGAAAACATAATAGCAAATGATAGTGGCAAAATAATTATTAAATGAAAGATCGGAGTTGGTGAACTCAAAAGGCTTCCATAGCCTTGGCAACTCAAGACAAGAGCCTAGGGAGATTACTGACACCATAAACAAGAGTGTCAATTTATTAAATCAACAACAGGAGTCACTGTGCAATTACTCCCCATGTAGGATCTCTGTCCTTAATGTTTTGTACTATGTGATGTAATGCTATAACTAGTACTCAAACAGTACTTTACACTTTGTGTTTCTGTTTGGGTGCAAACTGTTGAAATCTTTACTTAATATATACTAAATCGATCTTCTGTATATAAAGATAATTGAAAATGAATCTTGATGTGAATGGGATGGGAGAGGGAGCGGGAGATGGGAGGGTTGCGGGTGGGAGGGAGATTATGGGGGGGGAAAAGCCACTGTAATCCATAAGCTGTACTTTGGAAATTTATATTAAATAAAAGTTTAAAAAATTAAATGAACCATCATAAATTATAAGCTTATTTAAATACATATGATTAATGGATTAATTAACGTTTATCTGTTGGAGATAAGAATTTCTTCAAATTATGTTCCCACTTGTCAGTTTTTAAATTTCCATTTTGAATATATGTAGTGATTTCTATAATTCAAAATTAAAACTACAAAATGTAACCAAGGAGTTTATCAATTCCTTCCTAAACACCAAGAAAATTAGAAAGAATATAGGGAAAGCAATCCTATGAGAATGATCTTAAATGTAAAAGTACTTATGGTTTACCTTAACATTGTAGTACTCTCTGACTTCAGGTCTAATGGAATCAAAATCTCCACTGATGAATTCAGGCAAAAAGCTGAAAAAAAACAGAAGTAAGTCAACTAGTTTAGCCTATTTTTTCTTGAGCATTAAGATTGAGATTATAAAGACCAGAGAGAAAACTGATGTACTCAAAAGAGAAACACAGACTATTTTCAGTCAATAGAATGTGATCTAGTATACTCCTGGTCTCAGCAGGTTACGACTGAAGGGAACTCTAGATCCCCAACCAGTCCTTCATCTCAGTCACACGGTCAGACTCACAAGCACGCATCAGCTTTGCTTATTACATTCTACACAATTCAACGTTTACATTACTGTATCCTGTCGCAACCTGGAACTTTCAGCAGATAGCAAAGAGCAATCACATGCGAATTTAGTATTCTGTGTTGACCAGGAGTCAGTACAGACATTTTCCAAACATCCTTTTGACTTACTTCTAGAAACACCAGTCTTCCAGAGAGCTCTGAATTCTGCAAGGGTCCCAGTTACTAACTATGGAGCGTGATTCCCTAAAGTTGGTGTTTCTAATAGACCTAGCCCCTTTCCTGCTAGTTTGCTCCACAAAGCATTTCAGAAACGTACTTTACTCCAAGTAAGCAAGCCATCATTTATTACTTTTCCATAAAATATTTACAGGACATGGTAGATTATCTTCCACATAAAACCCCTAATGTGAAGAAATAAAATTTCTTCAGATTTCACAGTGCTCCTGAAAAATACCCTCACCCCCTGAGCCTCAGAAATGTGTCAGATAAAAAGGGAATTCTCACTTTCATCTCCTGCAGGGGCATTCCATCCTTGAGAATGAGATCAGCAGCCATTATCTAGTTCATGCTCTGGGTCAAAAGAGTAAGGCTTCTATTAATTCTTCGAGAGAGCCAATTTGTTAGCTAATGGAAGAGGTCTCTGGTCACAGGCAGACTGGAGGGTTTTCTCACTATGTATTCCAAGTGGATACAGATGAAGCCCAGAATCTGGTCACAACTCCATGCCATGAAACACAAAGGGCTGGTGGCTAGAGTTGTGGGGCTGGAGTTGTGGCACAGTGGGTTAGGTCACTGACTGTGACCCAGGCATCCCACACTGGGGTGCAGGTTTGAGTCCCAGTTGCTCCCTGCTAATGTGTCTTGGAAGACAATGAAGGAAGGCACAAGTGCTTGGGTCCCTGCCACCAACACCTAATGTAGGTCCTAACTCCTAGCTTCTCCCAGGCCCAGCCCTGGCTGTTTTTGCGCAAACAGGGAACAGAAGATCTCCTTCTCAGTCTCCTTCCCTCTGTAACTCCGACTTTCAAATAAATAAAGCTTTTAAAACAAACACACCCACAAAGGGCTATTAGACTCCTGGAGAGACATTACTAGCATATTAATGGGTTGGGGTTAGGATTCAGGTCCATAAACTGTTGAAGGAGGCCCCTTTAAAAGAAGAGAAACACAACTGCCACCATCTACTTAATAAGAGAAAAATGCAAACCAAAAACATGTTTCTTAGGCCTTTACCTACAAACATGTAACTACTAGCAGAGGAAAATTTACATGGCTCTCGTTGCATATGCCAAAGGGTAAAAAACAAGGCCAACTTGCCTCGGAAGCCCCAAGTCCAAGAAGGCTTACACATCATGTTCATTAATTCCAAAGAAATCCTCTGAAAGTCTCATTGGGAAAGCCATTTACTTTGCTTTTCAGGGGAAGCCATGGTGGTCGCTGGGTCAGCAATCCGTGCCATGGTCGAGAGCACACAGCATTTATGTAGTAGATGACCACAATTGGTTCGAGGAGGCTTCAACCCAAAGATACAAGTCATAGCTGTATTTAGCGTACCTTCACCCTGCCCACTAGATTCCACTTAAGATGATTACCCTGGAGATGACTTCCCCCTGGGCATATAATACTCTTTCTTCTGCCTTCCCAACACAGGACAAAGATGACAGATGTAGTAAGAAATCTGACTCAGAACACTTTGTGTGTGCACTCAGGATAAAATCAATACAGATGAATATGAAAACAAACAAAACTAATTTTGCCCGTTGGCACAATACTTTCTTAAGACTCTTAATTGGAAATATTATTTCTTAGAGCAAACTTAACTTTACTGATCCGAGTCAGGCTGAGTCTTGTTTGAACTGAATATCTTCCAAGGACAAATCTGTATCAGAAAGTTCTACCACAGAGATCCATACCACATAAACTACCTAGCTTGCATGAGCTAGCGTGGCAATTTTTTTTTTTTTTGACAGGCAGAGTGGACAGTGAGAGAGAGAGAGAGAGAGACAGAGAGAAAGGTCTTCCTTTTGCTGTTGGTTTACCCTCCAATGGCCACCGCGGCCGGCGCACCCCACATCCTCTCCAGCATCTATTGTTGGTAGATTTCTGAATGTGAGCCATTCTAACCGGGGTGAGGTGAAACCTCATTGTGGTTTTGATTTGCATTTCCCTGATTGCTAGTGATCCTGAACGTTTTTTCATGTGCCTATTGGCCATTTGGATTTTCTCTTTTGAAAAATGTCTATTGAGGTCCTTGGCCCATCTCTTAAGTGGGTTGTTTGTTTTGTTGTTGTGGAGTTTCTTGATTTCTTTGTACATTCTGGTTATTAACCCTTTATCTGTTGCATAGTTTGGAAATATTTTTTCCCATTCTGTCGGTTGCCTCTTCACTTTCCTGAATGTTTCTTTTGCAGTACAAAACTTCTCAATTTGATGCAATCCCAACAGTTAATTTTGGCTTTGACTGCCTGTGCCTCCAGGGTCTTTTCTAGGAAGTCTTTGCCAGTACCTATATCTTGCAGGGTTTCTCCAATGCTCTCTAATAATTTGATGGTGTCAGGTCGTAGATTTAAGTCTTTAATCCATGTTGAGTGGATTTTTGTGTAAGGTGAAAGGTAGGGGTCTTGCTTCATGATTCTGCCCATGGAAATCCAATTTTTCCAGCATCGTTTATTGAATAGACTGTCCTGGCCGGCGCCGCGGCTCACTAGGCTAATCCTCCGCCTAGCGGTGCCGGCACACCGGGTTCTAGTCCCTGTTGGGGGCGCCGGATTCTGTCCCGGTTGCCCCTCTTCCAGGCCAGCTCTCTGCTGTGGCAAGGGAGTGCAGTGGAGGATGGCCCAGGTGCTTGGGCCCTGCACCCCATGGGAGACCAGGAAAAGCACCTGGCTCCTGGCTCCTGCCATCGGATCAGCGTGGTGCGCCGGCCATTGGAGGGTGAACCAACGGCAAAGGAAGACCTTTCTCTCTGTCTCTCTCTCTCACTGTCCACTCTGCCTGTCAAAAAATAAAAATAAAAATAAAAATAAAAAAATAAAAATAAAATAAATTAAAAAAAAGAATAGACTGTCCTTACTCCAGGGATTGGTTTTAGATCCTTGATCAAATATAAGTTGACGGTAGATGTTTGGATTGATTTCTGGTGTTTCTATTCTGTTCCATTGGTCTATCCATCTGTTTCTGTACCAGTATCATGATGCTTTCTAAGAATTGTGCCAAAAATACACCAGGTACTCACGATGAGATGACTAAAATAATTGTAACTTTGGAATCTAATACACTGGCTTTTGAAACTTTCTGAAATGTACTTTTTGACACTGCAATTAAAAGCCCATCTCACTTTTCTGAGCCGCCTGTTGTCATAGCACCTGAGTGTTCTGAAGAAGTACTTAGTGGGGCTGACACTTGTCAGTTGTACAGGGGCTATGTTATGCTATAAATGGCAGTTTATACAGAAGACTGTTTTCGGAACTCTTTGGAGATTGATTGCACATAGCAACTGACTATGGATATGTAGATTTGTGTAGCCACTGATCACAACTCTGCCAAATGTTGAAACAGCCCACACCAGTATGCATCTTCTCATTATCCTTAACCTACACACACACTGACCTGTTAGTACTAAGAGGCGCCCCGGATTCTTCACAAATGGCCCACTGGATTCCTTTGATATTTACAGTTCCTCTTAAAGCATATCAGTTACTAATAACAAAACAAGAGTTCCAGAAGGTCTGAGGTCAATAAATGAGCTGACGATGCATCAGATGTGACAGTCAAGAATGAGACTGACATATGAAGACTGTGAGACTAGACATGACATGGTAGAAAACAACCATGGTCTTCCATGACATCTCCTTGTCCCTCCCTCAGTCTTGTTTGTCCCAGTTCCTGTAACCTGAATAGCACCAGGTCTCTTTCTGATTCCGTGCAGTGAGTTCTCATATGTCTAGTAGCTCCCGTAGATGCTAAGCTCTTGAAGCAGGCTCTGCCTCTGACTGAGCTCAGTATTCCCCGGCAAACCTCATACATAGATGCTCAGGATGACAAATTAAAATGAGAAGGCGAGGAGGCAAAGGGAGGGGAGAGAAAAAGAAGGGATGAAATAGCAGGGGGTGGAGCAAAGGGGAGATGAAAAATGGAAAAGGAGAAAAGCCAGAAAAGGGAAGAAAGTGGAAAAAGAGAGTAGAAAAGAATGAGGCCTTATTACTACAACTGCCCTCCCCATATGTGCTAGATTGAGCAAATCATTTAACTTTCTGGGCTTCATTGCTTCCTATTTAAAATAGTTGTGAGGATTGAGAGTTAATATATGTAAAGCACTTAAAGATGCCTGGCACACAGTAAGTACAATTTAAGCTATTCAGTTAAAATAAATTATTCCTGGAGAAGTTAAGTGGCTTGCCCTAGATTATAAGCCTGAAACCAGAATCCCAACCCAGGTAGTCCAACCTTTGTTCTTTAATAGCTAAGTACAAAACCTCCCCCACGTACATTTATAAAACAGAACAATTATCTTTCTAATAGAGAAAGTCCCCTGGATAAATGCACTGCTTCCTGCTGATTTTATTAATCACTATTAGTTTGGTCAACCTGTATATTTTACTAGGTTTTTTCTGAGGCAGAGGGAAGGAGGAGTTATACTGGTTTCTAAATGGACAATAGGATTTTGAAACAAGGAGAAATTTAGGAGACAAGCATTTGTAAACACTGCTAAAGAACAATGTGACAATAGATACAAGAAGAAAATATCACTCAGTCTAAAGCAGGAAGA